GAAAAGGAACAATCAATGATGCGCTGAAAAGATGGTACACATAAAGCGAAAAGTCGATATATACGACAATTCTCGCTTCGTATCGATTCGTATGCTTCCGCGTCTTCTATTTAATAGTGATATAATAGAAATGCACTCGGGTATATGGCAGAGTCTGATTTTGCGTGGAGCGAGATCATTCATCGGAGCTCGTGGGATTGCTGATCGTTTCCCGATCGTCGTCGCAACAATAGCCCATTATTTTCGGGTACACAACAAAGTCAGAGCTTGCGATTAATATATAAGACGTCTCGCATTAAATAGGAACGATTAAAATAATCGATGCAAAAGCTTCGCGTCTACGCGAGTAAAGATAGAGAGGGGGAAAAGTCAGGTAGGATCGTGAGCCCATACATAATGTACCAGCGCTTGCGGAGGAGTATAAGAGAGAGAGGGTATATTGGCTTGCGCGAGTGCTCTTGATTCCCGATTCATTGGCGCTCCCCGGATCCGAAGTGCTGCTGCCTGCCTGGCAAAGTCATAAAAGAAAAGCTTTTCGTGTCTACGGCAGCCGGTACACACATACATACATACACACTGCTGCTGCTGCTGCTGACTATGGGTGCTTCGCGAGAGGCTGGCGGAGGTGGCAGGAGTAGATATAAAAACTCTACGTGCGTAATTCTCGGCGTTCTTCCGGCAGATTGCGTAAAACTTTCAGCGGCGCGTATAAGTGCCCGCGCGCTCCTTGTATTATATAGGCTCCCGTGTATGTGTACTGTGTGTGTGTACGTGCGCGAAGAAGCTATATTCCGACAAGTATCCTTTCAAGCTAATCTTTCAAAATAAAACGATGCGAGGATAAAAGTAAAAATGCCTCGCATAGATTTTACCTTTTTATACATAACGGAATTTTCCATTTATGATGTTGCCGTTGTTGTTTCTTTTTTTTTTTTTTATCGAACCCTGCGAAAAAGCCTTGCACGCGTGCTTTCGTCGACGATCGAAGCCTTTCTCAAGATTTTTCCAATAATCTGATGGGCTCTCTCGAGATACGATTTAAACGTAAACATGCGCTACTGCTGCTGCACTCTTCGGAGCCTGTGCAGATGCGCCGGCTAGATATAGTGCGCGGGCGTGCATGCTGCTCAACTTCGCCAATGAATGGCTATCCAATTTTTTTTTTTTTTTCAACCTATCAAAAGAAGAAAGGTGGGTGGGAAAAAAAGAGGAAGCTTCGCTCGGGTAAGAGAGCTTTCCAAGAGCTATAATATTCAGATTCAGCGCGCGTCAACCCGTACATGTACGTAAGAATCGAAGCTGATTTCGCACATATAAATATATATGGGCCAATACCATATTATCTGACAAGTGCACTATGCTTTACTTTCTGTTAAGTAAATTCGTCGACGAAAAAAAAAAGATTGTCCGTATATTACGCTGGACCGACTATACTACACGGCTCGCGCGCGCCAGCTGCAGTTGTGCACAGTCAGCTCGCACGGCTGAACAATTTACAATGACTCTATCGTTATAAGTACAGGTCCATAGCATACATACAGAGAAACGCGCGAGCATCCCGTTCCGACACGCGGCCAATGTATATGTACGTATATAGATATGTAATTCGAGAATTGCGCGTGCTATACTTGAATATCGGCAAAGCTTCTATCTCTCTCTCTATACCTATATGAGCAAGCCACAATGCACGGGGTATAACAGCGGGTATTAGCGCACTCGACGTGGAATGAGATGTACGCGGGTGCGCCAATCGAATACACCGCACACCCCCGCCACGCAGAATACGAGCTAGCTCGCCTATAATCGGATCATAGCTTCTTCGGCTAAATATGTTTCGCGCTTGGCCGACTGCTCGGTACGACTTCGAACTCTGTCTCGCTCTCTCTCTCTCCGCGACACAAAAGCTTATTAAACCTGCGGGTATAATTGCGCACCACGACGCAGACGTTTCGTACGTCGATTGGGGGGAAGGCGCACGGACTGCTGTGGAACTGAGCGCAAAGTGCAAATGCGTATTAATATTATGGAAAGTCGAAGGCGAAGTCGTTGAATAAAAAAAATAGTTTAGTTTTTAAAGTCGATGTGAGAGCAGTGTCCGGGTGAAAATTGTCAACATTAACAATGATCTTATAACAAAAAAATAAGTATTTAGAATATTTTATAGTAAATGACCATTAATTGGCTTGTTGTTAGCTTATTTTTCTGTTACGGTCATGTTAAAAATATTAAGCTCATTTTCAATGACCTGAAAAACATAATTCAACTGCTTTAAAAAAATTAAACTAGTGTTCAATCATTTTGAACACGATTATGCCAGTTTGAGAATCCACCGCTAGATGGCAAGTACCTTTAAATCTGTAAATCTGCAAGTGACAAAGAGAAAATAATTGTATATATCAAAGTACACGATTTCGTTATGCAATAACAATAGTTACGTTACTCCGTACACGAGATAAATTTTCTGAAAACAAAGCTAAAATTGACCGACGCACTGATTCGCGAGGACTAAAGCAGACAGTCCGCACGCGCGCCCGTCAAAACGTGCAGATAAGTCACTTTAAACTGCGCCGAGATTGTAGCCCCCCGTCCCTTGCTCCCCAATGTGGAGAATAAATTTTCATGCTGCGGAATTCCAAGAGGGAGATTCCAATTAAATTCTGCTGCGCGCCGTCGTTATGCACTCTCCCTCTTTCTCTCTCACTCTCTGTGTTTCTCTCCCCCCCTTTTCTTTTTTCTCTCTCGGCTTGCTCGCCGGGACTTTTAAGACGCATTAATTACGCAATCCGGATGAAAAATGTAATTTTTTAACAGTTCGCACTTTTTTGAGGCTCGCTTGCAGTTACTCTGCGCGCTATATACTTGCGCTGAAGTTAATGCGACCAAAGAAAATCCTCGTAAGGCTCTTTTGAAGATATTTTTTCCGCGTATAAGCTCTACCTTGCGCTTGCTAGTGCGCGCGTCTTTGTGAATTATTATTATTTTTCCTTTTTTTTGCTCTCGGAAAAATCATTCCTTTTCTTCGCTGTCATCGCTGCGTGATATTTCCTTTACAAAGGGATTCAAGCTCATTTTCATTATTTTAAACTTCGAGTGTTTTACAACTGTTGAGAATGACTTTGTGAAGAAGAAGAAGAAGAAGAAGAAAAAAAAAATTTGCCTCTCGGCAATGATAACTCGCGAGCACATAGTTTAGACAAGAAACACAATGTAATTAACTCATCAAGACGCGCATCGCCGCTAGATCGTGAATTACGACGGAGTTTATATACATTTTTTGGGTGGGGGCATGCAAATGGTCTTTTACATTAAGACGCGCGTAACCCAGTTCACATAGTCCGCGCGCGCGCGAAGTTTGAAGAGTATACAACACAGCTCGAAGTTGCTGCAGCGAACAAAACAATTTAACCAGTTTAATTACGCTTTGAAAAAAACACCCTTCCCGCGAAGTGTTTTTGTGTTTATATGCAGTTTATACTCGCTTATAAAGTTATTCGCCTCTCCCGCCCCGCTAAATACTATCTCTTATCATCTTGAAACAAGAAAATTGCTAATAGTATCACTCCAGGCTTTTCGTAATGATGCTCTCTTTTATACCTTTTTACCTTGCTTGCTTGCTTGCGCCGCTGCCGCCGCAGTCCCTCGAGCAACTCGAGGAAAGTTTTTCGCTAATTAAAAAGAGCTTTATAAAAGAGATTTCAAAGGATAAATCAATCCCGCGTAGTTTTTCCCGAAGTATTTTAATGAACCGGGCGATATCGTGCACGGCGTAAATTTACCGCGGGAAAAACCAAGAGTTTTTTCTATATGGTGCCAGTTCGAGAGCTTACTCAGAGTTGATAACAAGCGTCTCTCGCGCGGACACGAGCGCGCGCGAAATCTTCGATATTATTATTTTCACGCGTGTCGTTTGACTCACCTCGACGCAGTCGAAACGCAAACTCGCGAAGTGATATATCACGGCTAACGACACTAATGATGGCGCGGATGTGTAAATCCATATGTACGAGACGTAGTACGGCGCACGAGTTACACGTATACTTGCTGCACGTCAGCTGGAGAACGGGAATTTTCCTCCCGTACGATGCAGTATGCAAATCGATGTGTGCGTATGGCCGCGCGCGCGCGCGAAACGGAACTTTCTCTCTTTCCTTCTCGGAGCTCGCGTATATATAGACATAACTCGTTTCGGAATTCGACGACTCGTCGATCGACGCGGTGCATTCAATTTAGCAATCGGCGACGTAAGGCTGTGTTATACATTATAACTCTGCGTTTTGTGTGCACGTTCGGAAAACTTTCGATATAATTGATTTTAATCGAGACAACGTCTTCTTTATTTTGACTCGGGGCTTTAATTACCACGTCTCGGTAAAGTCGTCCGTCGTCGCCGCTGCCCCTCGAGAGTAAGTGCGTGAAAAGCCAACGGAACGCGCGCTTTTATATATATTGCGCTTTGCTCCGAGGCCACTAAGTGATCGATCAATGGGAAACAATCAAACTTTTCCCTCTTTTGTAAACTTTGTTAATTCAAGTCAATTAAAACTTTTCTATATCCGTAAAGAAAAGCGATAAAATACAATTTTATATCGCGCTACAAGGGTGTTTTAATATATATCTTCAACGTCGATGCGTACGATTACTTGGATTAATTTTCGATTCGTGGGCTGCTTGTTTTATTGTGTATGCATAAATCAATGAATTGCGATTAATTAGCTTATACGAGCAACGATGTGATGATTCACTCAGCTAGAGGTTGAAATTTATTTTTCCACCGCAGTACCGCCACACCCCTGCGACGACTCCGGGCGATAAATTGGCGCATTATGAAATATCGGGATATTAAATTTGAATTAAACCGTAGCATAAGCATAAAGCAAAAGCATATAATGCATTATAATTCGCTAATATAGAAACGCGATACAAAATAATCGAATTATTTCTTTACCATTAATTCCGATGATTAATAACGATATGCTTTCGTCGTCGCACGTGTGTTGCAGAGGATGAAAACGCCATGGTCCAAGGTGTCGTGACGGAGGACGGCCTGCTGGACGCGAGCGTGGTCACCGGCGTCGACGAGTACTACATCGAGCCGGCCAGCAGATACATATCCTCGGAGGAGGACACCTCGCCGCCCTATCACACCATCGCCTATCGGGTCTCGGACGTGGAGAAGCCGCCCCAGCCGCTGCGCTGCGCCAGTCAGGAGCTGAAAAACGCCAGCCTGCGCGAGACCTTGCAAAAGTACGTTTTTTAAATAGATGATTCGAAAAATTATTAAATTATATTACAATCGATTTGGCTTGCTTTTGATAGATTTTTGTTTACAATTACGTTACATTAAATAAGTGCATTTTTTATTTCCTAATAATTTAGGAACAAACATTTAAACCAGCTATCGGTCCTTTTAAATACAATAATACCAATTAAAGCATTCACCACTAGATGGCGCGTACCTTTAAATCTGTGAATGTACAATTGGCAACGTTAAAATCATTGCATATGAGTCGAAGATTACAGATTTTACCCAATAATTTACATAAATCATATGTATTTCATCCAGACTGGCGAGCGCGAATAACACATCGGAGCCGTTCTTCGAACGTTTGTTGGACCAAGAGGTTCGACTGCACGGCGCATTTTACTCGAAAGAGCCCGAGGTCGATCCAACTTCCACGAAGAAAGCGAAGAAACACGAAAAGGATCTTTCCTCCTCATCCTCCTCAAACGGGTACGTACATCGATATTACATAAATCTGGGAACATCGATATTTTCCATTACACGCGTTACGAAATATATATCCATTGGATGATCCGCAGTAGCAGCGGGAGCGGCAGCAGCAGCAACTCGCGTCTGGCGGAGCGTTACACGAGGCATCTGCAGAAGCGAGCCACGATAGATCCGCGCAAGACCACCTGCATGCTGTATCTGCAGGCGGATCATCAGTTCTTCGCCCGATACGGCACCGAGGAGGCCTGCATCGAGGTCATGACGCGGCACGTGCAGAAAGTCAACTCGATCTACAAGCATACAGGTGAGCTAGGCTGCTGCGCTCATAATTATATTGGTATACTTTTTAATTGCAACGCGCGTATATATCGTTGATTTCGGTGCGCATAATTGGCAATTTAACGATAACGAGATTGAGGTTGACATAATTACTCGAACAACTCGAAAGTATTCCGAGTTTTTTTTTACTCCGCTTCCTTCTTCTTCTCCTCTATCTTGATTAGCATTAGGTGGTTGGTCGTATATAGTATATAAGGTTCTCTGCTTTTCCGCAAACTTGTGTGCTCAGTCAACTTCTATTGTTCCCCGAGACTTTTGCAAGGACAAAGAAGAAGAAGAAGAAGAAGAAGAAGTGGAGGAAGACCCTTTGCTCGGCTTACCTATATCTAGCTCTTTCTCTCTATCCGCGAGCGACAGTCTGTCGATGTAAACCACGTTTTAGTATGTGTGTCTGCGCGCGTTGGCGCCTAAAGCAGAGGTTTCCTCGACGTTGCTCGGATAGATAGAAAGACTTGGAAAACTTTCGTGTAAGAAGAGGCTTCTTTTATCAAAAGTTCCTCTCGCGCGCACGCCCGCGAGCGCGTCGATTGCCAAAAAAACAATCGGCCTGCAGCTTGCGCGCGAAGAGTACATCATCAATTCCGGCTCCAATTTCTCTCTTTCTCTCTTCCTCGTGCTCGCAATTACCCTCCCCCGCGCAAAAAAAAGTTAATTATTGTTTTTCTTTTTCTCTCTCTTTGCAGACTTCAATCAGGACGGCCGCCCGGACAACATTAGCTTCATGATAAAGCGGGTGAAAGTTCACAGCGGCGACGCCCTGCGCGATCCGAATTATCGCTTCCCCGGCAGCTACGGCGTCGAGAAATACCTCGAGCTCTTTTCTGGTGAGTAGTAGTATATATATATATCTTTCTCTGTGCGCACATCAGTGTCATCACAGTCAGAGGTGTGATGTATGTGCTGCGTGTGCACCCCGCGAGTTTACGTATATAATACGAGAGAGAACCTATATTACACGATATAAGCTCGAGGCAGCGGCAGAGCAGTCGCAGGACACTTATGTATGAACATAGCGGCTGCTGCTTGCGGTCCGAGCTTGCAGCGCACACGTACTGGTGCGCGCATTAAACTTATACGGTGCTATACAGTATGTATAAGCGACGATACACGCTCTGCTCTCTCTCCCTTTCTCTCGTGGAGCCTGAACTATAATAGCCAAATAGTTCAAATATTCGTGCGAATTTCTAGCCATCATGCGAACCTGTGGACTAGAATTTTCAGTTTGTTTCTGGAGCCGCGTGTAAGCGCCAAAACTCGCTCGCTCGAAACCCTGCAGTCTGTATGTATGTGTGTGTCGACGTCCCTTCGTTCCCACACCACTGGCGCGCGCGCGCGGCTCATAATTAACTGCCAGATTCTCGCGAATTCGAGCTCTGCTGCTGCTGCTACTGTTACTGCTGATTACACTATTGCAAATGATATCAGCATATATATAGAGGAGAACAACAACACACACAGTATATGACCTGCTGTTCCCTCGTTGACTTTTTGACTTAGTATACGTGTATATATGTGTGTGTGTTTGGGGCTCGATGTTTTGCTCGTATACATAGTGAGTATTATACTTGAGCAGCGCGATAGCCCTCCGGAGTCCTCCGGACTTTCCTTCGGGAGCCCGACGACCCCCTTCTGCAGCGCGCTTTAATTATTCTCTGTCAGGACAATAATTCCAGTATACCACGCGCGGTCGGCCATTTGTCGTCGTCGTCGTACGATATATATTATATTCAAGGAGATGTGCAGTTGTGCTATTTCGACAGATTTCAGATGCCACATATCGAATTCCTCGCGAGTTTTACCTCGCACATACGTATTGCTGCCGAATTTTTAAAATACGAAAAATATTCGAGACAGTATACGTAGATGGATATATACATTTTATTATTTATTGTAAAAAAGCATCGAACTCGCACCCCGTGAACACCCGTCAACGGAGAAGAAAAATGGGAAAACAAAAAGTGCTCCGAGGAATATATAAAGGTGGTATACGTATGCAGGCGCCGCGACGTGCGCATGCATCTGGTGTGTGCTGTGCTGCAGCACAACGCGAAATATGCTGCACATTATGTGTCGCGTCTACGGGGCGCGCGCGTCTTTTTTTTAGCGCCACGCGGCACACATGCTTCCTCTCTCTCTCTCTCTCTCTATACATGTATATTCCGAAAATTCTGTCTGCTCAATTTTAGAAAATACTATAGTTTATACCCGGCCAATATGCGAAACGTCGAATTGTCTATCCTATGCCCCAGCAGAGTTACAGATGGATCTGATGTGTGTATAAATTGGCAAAGCAAAAAGAACAAAAAAGAAAGGGGGAGGAAAAAAAGAAAAAAGAAACGGAAAATGAAAGAATGAGAGAAAAAATCAGATATACGTAGTGATTTTTCCATCTCTCGGGCATTTTTTTCCATTTGTCTATTCTCAACGTCGGCTTATTACTTTTTCGTTTGAACGAGAGATGATTCCCTTTTTTTTCCTATTTTTTTCGTACTTTTACGTATTTCCTCTTTCGTGATACATTTGTTTGTAGGCACGTGCATACCTACGCGATACGTACACATCTCAGGACTTCAACGTTGATATTGTAAAGGGCGGCACATTTCATTGAAAAACCGAGGTCAGTTAGGGAAAACTCGATTGAAAAACCGAGAGGGAGAGAAAAAGGCGCAGCAGCATCAGCAGAAGCAGGAGAATAGAGAGTGGCAGCTCGGCCACTCGGTGCAGCAGCAGCAGCAGCACTTCATATATATTGTACGTTGTGTGCAGGGCATGGTACCTTATAGGTCGAGGAGAAGAGAGCATGAGCAGCAGCAGCTCCATTTGTATTAAGAACGTGATGGGAATTCACGCAAACCGCACGATAGGTACGAAGGACGAGAAGGAGAGAGAGAGAGCTGCTGACCGCGCCACCGCGTTCTTCGACCCGCCACCGCCGTACTGCTATATATTCGCTTCTCCACTTTGGCGTTCCTTGAGAGTCTCTTTCTTTGTTTCCTCTTCTTCTTCATTTTTTTTTTCTTCTTTTTTTGGTTGGTCGAGTGTCTTGGATAGCGCACACGTGCATTTTTTCGGCAAGAAGAAAAACCGAAATAACTCTTGCGCATGAGAAAGTAGAAGGAAATTTTCTTCGGTGAAAAAAAAAATCTAAAATCTGGTTAAACGGACTCTCTCGCTCCTTCCGTCGTATACGCCAGTTTCCTCTCGCACGATTGCAAACTGCTATACAATTTCTTCTTGTGTATACATACACATCTCACCCCCAAAAGGTCGCTTTTAACTTACTCGTGCTTATAATCCAAGCGAGACGACGCAACGCAGCCCAGACTCTCTCTCTCTCTCTCTCTCTCTCTCTTGCTGAAAAATGGTCTCATTTTGTCAGCTGCGCGCCGCCGCTGTTGCGTGCATGCCCATTACACACACGCGCGCGCGCGCGCGACTCGCAAGCTCGCGAGCAGACGCACAGGTTTTCTCTCCTTTCGAAAGGAAAAAGTTTGAAATGAAATAAGTTGCCTGGCGCGCGCGCTTGGGCGAGTATAGCCAGGGCGTATCTTTCTCTTCTCCCGATACTGGACAAAATAACGCGTGCGCTCGCGAGCGAGCTTGCGCAAGCTCTTATATTTCCCACGGGGGTGGCTTTTTTCCCTGTTTTTTTTTTTTTTTTTACTTCTAGACATTCCCACAGGACTGGCACGAAGAAAAGAGTGAGATAGAGAGAATCCGATTCCGCGTGTGTGTACTTATAGATATTCGATGAACGTGAAAAAACGTTTAAAATCCGAAGATTGCTTTCTCGCAGGTCGTGCTGCTGCTGTACGACGCTCGAGTCGTAGATATAAATGTGAAAAATATATTTCGTATCGTTCATTGCCGATAATTGTTAGTTTATTCGAGAGATTATATTTGATAGAGCTTTACACTCACACTCGTTAAATGTAAGTAAAGTAAGTACATGACAATTTCGATTCTGTGGCGCGATACTCGATGTATGAATCGATGCTTTACGACCGTTTGTCACCTCGTATTTGACTTTTATATTAACCCACCGCTGAGGGTGAGGCAGGAAGCTATACCTACTACCTATATAATGGTTATGCCCATACACAAGCCTTACCGTATGCGAGAGGCACTTCATTTATATTTCTCCATTGATTCCTGCACTCCCATATGCCAACGCACGCTGCCGTATAACCGAGTCGACATATACCCTTCGATGTATATACAGCCGCAATTTTATTTATATTTCTTTTTTTTACTCCCTGCCGTCTCGAGCTCTCTTTACTCGAATCCTTGAATCCTCGGCAATAAGAGATCGACTGTTTCAGAGTATCATAAAAAGCAGGCGCGCAGAGACAGAGGCAGGCAGGCAGCTCGCTCGCGGACCATAAACATTTTATGGGCTACTTGATACATACTCAAGTCGAGTGTTCCAAAGATAGCCATGAGAGAAATAGACTCTCGAGTTCTGCGTTTTCTTATCTCTGCGCTCTAACTCGGATCTCTCTCTCTCTTTCACTACTGCTGATTCTCTTATCGACGAGTGATATGTTCTCGAAATTGAGAGCGATTCGATTTTTCTTCCCCCCAGAAGCGCGTCTATCAGATTCCATTGTCCACTCGTCGATATTTTCACGTTATTATTCAAGCCTCGAGCTAATTTTTCCTACTCCTACTACTACCCGCCTGCAGCCACTCAAGGATGTATATATTTACTTTTCCCTCCGCTCGATATCTTTTCTTCGGTATTAAACCATTTGTTCTCGTTGATCAATGATATATACAATGAAATAAAGCGGCCGTGCTCAATGATTTATCTCGTTGTTTCTTTCTCCCTTTTTCCTCTCTCTCTCTCTCGCTCGATATATTCACTTTCACACAGCAGAGTCCTTGATAATAGCGAAACATGTTAACAACAGCGCGATAAAACACAATAGCCGCATCGTGACGCGTGCCATTTGCGCGCCGCGCTAACTACGCGTCATAAAGTATATCCTAGATTTTGTAGTTCATTACCAACGCGTCGACGCCAACTTAAATTTTATGCACAATGATATATTTTATTTTGTTTCACAGAGGAGGACTACGATGCCTTCTGTCTCGCCTACATGTTCACGTACCGGGACTTCGAGATGGGCACGCTGGGACTGGCCTGGACCGGAGATCTGAAAAACGCCGGCGGCGTCTGCGAGAAGAACGGGGTAAGTCTCGTGCTACATTTTTTTGTAATATAAATTACAACGTCGCACCGTCGTCGCCGCTTTTTCTCTTTGTTTTTTCGCGCTGCGGTGTACAAAATGCACTCACATGTACGCAATATACGTTGTCGTTGAATGAATTACGCGTCGACTCAAAAGACCGCTTCAACGGGTACTGAGCATTTAAATGCTGTTTATAATAACTTTTCGCGTTATATACGCCGTTTATATACCGCACGGCGATGATTACTCGTTTTAATTGTATTAACGTGCGAGAGTGGGTACGTTCAACGCGAAATATATTATAACATTTTCAAGCGATTATGAATTATGAATTCACTCGAGACGCGGCGCGCGCTCGACGATTTAAAAATTATTATTATTTAACCCGCAGCGTTGAGTTATGCAAAAAAAAACCATCGCTCATGAATTCAATTCAATTTTTTTTTACCTCTCTCTTTGGTCTACTCTTGTAAAGAGTATACGTGTATGTATATTTGTATAAATGCATAAGAAACGCTTCATATATTTTATCATTATAAATGAAAAGAGGGAAATTCAATGCGCGCTGGAAAGAGAGAGAGGGAAGGAAAACGGAGAGCTAGTATACAGTGTACGAGGGTGCACTCGATAAGAAGAAAACATAAAGTGAAAAGTGAACGAGGAGCAGGCGCGCGCGCGAGTACAAGCTGAAAAAAGTGCATGTAGATATTTCTCTCTCTCTCTCTCTTTTTCTGCGCGTAGGTATACGTTTATACGTATAACGTGCCGGAGCGGAAAGAGGGATTTAACCGACGGGAAGGCAAAAAAAGACAGAGTCGGGCGAGGGAGCGAGACCGGAGATGAATAAAGGCCAAAAGTAAGCTCACATACGTATACCGGGTATACTCACCTATACACGCACAGGTGCATCTACTGCTACACTCCCTGAAGTATGCGAGTGTAGAAGACGCGCGTTTGATCGGGATTCGGCTGGCGATGTTGCTAGTGGAAGAGAGTACAGACGAGAAAAGCCAATCAAGAGCTTCGCCTCGAGCGCTGAAAAGCCAAATAAAAAAAGAGAAAGAGACGGAGTAAAAACGCGCTCGAGCGCACATATATTGCAATTTTGAATTGAATTTTTCCAGCGGTACAATATTTGAGAATATATATATATATATTTAAAAAAATTTAATTTCATTGCCACTGACTGGTCGTCATGCGAGTGAACGTTTCCGCGGGGATGCGCTTTTCTTTGAAGCTGAAAACGATTCGGCGAAAAAAATTGCTGTTACAACGAGATTAAACGAAAGGGTAAAGGCTGAGTTCATGCACATTTTGAGATCTTGTAAATTTGAATGGTCGTGTGTGTATCGAAAGAAAAGTCGAAATGTATTCTTTTTTTTATTAATTAATTTATCTGAATGATATTTAAAATTAGCCACATTTAACAAAATCAAAAAATGAAAACTAGAATGAAAATAAAATAGATGCGAAGCACAAGCTTGGCCAGGCTCTTTGGCGAGTAACTAAAACTAAACTACAACTAAAATTATAAATCAATCGTACAAATAGCTGCAAACTCGACAAAGACGTCGAACGACATGCCCAGAAATTTCAACTTTATTTTTTTTGCCTTGCTCACGAACTCCTCGTTTCTATTCCAACGGTTTACAATATTTTCTGACTTCTTGAACAATCCTTGCTTGTTGAGTAATCTTACAAATGTTACGAGGGCGGGTTGTTCCAACTTGTATCCTTTCGACACAAGACGTTCGACGACGGTAAGCACGTCAAGTACTAGTTTCAATTCGAAATCAGACCGACTTTCATCTGTAGTCGGCGACTTCACTTTCTCGCCAAAGTAGTCCTCGGTGGGAAAAACGAAGCTAGAAACTCGAGCGCCATTATGCAAGAGTACACCGACCACATTTGGCAGGATACTCGCCACGGCCCATTGAAGAGGCGTCCTACCCAACTTGTCCTTCGCGTCGACCTGCACCTTCTGCTTCTTCTCCTTGCAGATCTTAAAAAACATAGCCGCCATGTCGTCGTCTTCGGATCTTTTGCAAATAATGTGCAGAGGAGTCAGTCCCTCTGCATTAGCTAAAGTTGGGTCGGCGCCGCTTCTAAGAAGTGATTCGGCCACCTTCTTGAGACCGCGAGTCAGAGCCCAGTTCAATGGCGTGTCGCCCTGCTCGTCCCAGACGTCGAGCTGCACGGTTAACTTTTTTTCTTCGCACATCTTGAAGAATTTCTCGAGCACGTCGTCGTCGTGGATTCTCTTGCAAATGGTATGCAAAGCTGTCAATCCCTGCATGTTGGCGACGTTCGGGTCGGCGCCATTTTTTAGCAGCAGTGCAACCACTTCCTGACGGTCGAACATCAAGGCCAAGTGTAGCGGCAGTTCGAGAAATTTTTGACCGGAAAAATTGGGATCTTGCCCGAACTCGAGGAATTTCTTGACTATGTCCACACAGCCGTACTTGCAGGCAACGTGGAAATGCGTGATGTTGGACTCTTTGTCGATGTAATTAGCATCGAACCTGCAGTATATTTTGAAAAGATCGGGGACGCATTCGTCGTTTTCCTCTGATTTTGCAACACGATGGAGTGCCGTGGAACGAAGCAACAATGGCTTGCCGTGCTTGTCCACGTCGGGCTCGTCCTTGTAGCCGGTCTTGATCACAAAGTCCTTGAATGAAGTTCCACTTCGTTTGACACCACTGTCCACCTCCTTCGTAAGAAGCCAGTCGATTTCTTTCTTTTGAAAGATTTCACGAAGGTTAGGATATTGGCCTTCCCAATCGCTGATCAGTGGATAAAGTTTACCAAAAATATTATCTCGCGCTTTTTGGTTAGCCGAGTCGAATTTGTAAACGTAACGTAAACTCTGCAATTTTTTAATTCTTTTCTGAATGTCCATGCTGGTATTGGGTTTCACAGTGGACGTGGACATTTTGCTACTTCACACACAAACAACACAGTCGCTGTTACAATGTAAGATATTTTTTTCAAGAAAATCTGTAGCTACTGATCAATGCGATCTTTCGTTGCTTACGCTGTGGCGTCGTAACGAATACTGGCCAGCGGCAGCGCATATACGCTGCCGAGTGCAGACTGCGGTCGACGGTTTGAGAAACTCGCACGGACACGCACAGCGCGGGAGCGAAACAAGTGAGCTAAGCGTGCGACGAGAGAGAGAGAAAGAGACAGACAGAGTGACGACGTTGCATATAGACGTTACAAAGATATGCGCGCCAAACAGTCTTACTTTTCCATAGCAGAGGCCTATTTGATTCTCGGCACTCGGCAGTGTGACATCGTGACCAATGCGAGCGCCGGTCAATCATAGCGAGCTAAAAACTGTAACTGCAGAGTTAATCCTACGAATCGCACTCTTTCATATGAAAGCTCCGTAAGCAAGGCTGCCTTTTTGAGTTTTGATATTCTTAAGTAGTAGAACATACCATAATCGCAGAAAAATGAATTGCGCGACGGGAAACGAATAACACCAAGATCGTGTTCTATATACTCGCAATCCTCTCAAGTTTGTGTCCCAGAAACTCAATAGCTTGTCTCGAACTTTTTGTTCTATGTCTGGGGCTGACGCGCACGCGCCGGGGCACATTTGTATTTGAAGGTAAACAAGGCGCCATGGTAAATATTTGTCATAGCGCGCGAATTAACTCCTCGCAATCGCTGCTACAAGTCTCTGCTCCAGAGTGTGAAGCTGTACTATATAGCCTAGGCATGTATCCTATATAGCACGTCTACAGCGGCAGCACTTTCAACGAGTTTGACACATCTGTTGACTTTGTAGCCCTTAATCAAGGCTCTTTTGCCAGCCTTTGTTAACGGAAACTTTCGCGCGCGCGCGCGCGCTGTACAAGAGGAATGTAATAAAGACCAGGCGCGGAGTCTGTTATCCGCGTTATATTATATACATTTTATACTGGATATCAATGTTTTTCGCGTAAAAAGAATTACTACCACTGCTACTAATTTTGAACGTTTGAACGTAGGCATTTTAATTATAAATTTGACGAACTTGCGCACGCGAGCGCGTTACATTATGCTTGATATGTTGTTTACGCAGCAGCTGCCTTATTATACATTGTATCATATGAAATGTAAACTATGTCTCGTTGTTTTCCAGCATTACCGGGGCAGCATGAAATCCCTGAACACCGGCATAGTGACGCTTTTGAACTACGGCAAGCACGTGCCGCCGGCGGTCTCGCATGTGACGCTCGCCCACGAGATTGGACACAATTTCGGATCACCGGTAAGTCCATTAATGCACACTATTTTATTTCTAATTAATTCACGTTTGGAATTTCCTATTTACGATTCGAGCGCAGTTTCTTCTTTCTTTCCTTTGATCCTTTTTATATTTCGCACGTCATTCTTTCTGGAAGCTTAATCGTGATTCCAGTAAGTTTAAAGCCCCGAAAAAAAGCTTTTCTCGCCTTCCGCACAGTCTCGAAAATAAAATGTTAAAAACAAGGAGAGGCGGGCAAGGAAACACAAAATGAAAGGCGCGTAAAGCTCTCGGGCTCGCGCGCGCGCGTTATCTCGTGGCCAAGCCTGCTGAGAGCGAGCGATCTCTTCCTTCCTTCCTTCTCTCTCTCTCTCTCTCTCTCTCTCTCTCTCTCTCTCTCTCTCTCTCTCTCTATCCTTTTTTTCTGTACGTACAATACACGCGCAGCTGTGCAGCACACGGGCCGTTCATCTTTACGACGCAACTAAACTCACGCGCGCACACAAGCCTAGTGGAGAGAGTACTTGCCCCCGGAGCTTTGCGCGCGCGATTCTGTGCTTCGGCTCTCTCTCTTGTTTTCGCGAGCTTATATAGCTGCTGCCCCCCGTCCGTGTGTAATTCGCCCCATCGCACGAGATGTTTCGAGTCTTAACTTCTTTTCTTTTTTATTTTGCGCTCGCGATTTTCTTTTACCTCGTGGTGGTGGTGGTGCGGTACGGTACTTTGGACGCGCCAATGCTTTTCGCGCGTAAGAGCGAAAAGCTCTCTCTCTCTCACTGTCTCTCTCAAATCTCGGGAAATCGCGTCGGGAAATTCGAAAAAGAGAGAGAACGAGCAGAAGAAAGAAAGAAAGAAAGAAGGATACTTAAGCTAAGAAGGCGAGAATGGAAATGTAAAGAGGCCGATAGACGACGACGATTGTCGTTCTTATATAGAGCTCTCACGTGCGGCGCTGATCTTTTTCCTCTCACTACTTTGTTTTTTTCTTTGACTCATTTTTTTTTTTGTCTCTGTCCCTCTTAAGCACGATCCAGAGCAGTGCACGCCCGGCGGCGAGGATGGAAATTTCATCATGTTCGCTCGCGCGACCAGCGGCGATAAGCGCAACAACAATCGCTTCAGCCCGTGCAGCCTGAACGCCATTAATCCCGTGCTCAACACGAAGGCTCGATCGTCCAAGGGCTGCTTCACAGGTGAGCTACTTTTGTTGTCTTTTTGATTTTGCATTATTCTTACTTTATGTGAGTGTCGACGGAGGTGACACTCGTTTTCGTCGTGTCGAATCCGATCGAGCAGTACGATTGACAATGATAAATGATTTTTTTTCTTCTCTCCCACGATACAGAGCCGCAAGCCTCGCTATGCGGCAACGGCGTCGTGGAAGAGGGCGAGGAGTGCGACTGCGGCTGGGAGGAGGACTGCCGGGACTCGTGCTGCTTTCCACAACGACGATATCCACCGGCCGAGGAGAAGCCGTGCACGCTCACGCCAGACGCTGTCTGCAGTCCCAGCCAGGTACAATTGGAGCCCAACGAATCGAATTGCTTTTCATTTCCGTTATACGCAGCTGCTGCTGCTGCGAAGCGCGAAAATCGGAAGTCCGTTAACCAGAAAAATTGCTATAGTCACCCGACCCTTCATTTCATTTAACGTTTCCGGATTTTTTCAATCGACCTTTTCATTATCCTTTCTTTTTTATTTTTTTTTCTGTTCCCCAATAGCGGTGGCACGCAACTAATGCGATTTTTTTTCACCCTCAATACGTCGCCGCCGCTGCGCGACATTTCTGACATTTTCGTTTCAATTCAATCAGACGACTTTCTATCGCCGAGTGCGGAGAGCCCAGTAGTAGTAAGGGAAAGTCGGGGTAAAATTCTGTAAATATACTTCGTTTATGCGCGCGCGAGACCCACCCCCCTTCTCTGAACTTTGATCATTATTGTGCATGAACGAGTTCGCGAAACTTTTCGCAAAATTTCCCAATCGCATTAAAAGCAAGGATTTGAATTGCTTTTTCCTGTCAATCGGGGGGTAAAAGATGTCGTAAATCGAATGTTGGAGCACACGCGCGCACACGTGTATTATACGACCGTACCTACGTATAAAAATATATGTCTATATATCGCAGGTACGTAGCTGGCCGATTAAATTGAAAGCGCGTAATCTAATTTCTCTTAGTACAATAAAACCATTCGTTGCGCGCTGTCGTAAAATTTCGTTTCGTATATATATCCCCGTGATCGAAATCCGTCGCTCCGCGTGTTTCACGAGAATATATATATATATATATATAAAAAAAGGAAAAAAAAAAGATCGGTTGGTGCTTTGCATTTGTACGAACACTGACCTATATATGCATATAATACTCAAAAAACATTTCGAGTTCGATAAAAAAAAAACGAATAACTCGTACGATATTAATGGCAATCAGCGATGCGTATAGAAATATTATAGCACGAACAATTTTAAAAATACCCTCTCTCATTTTTTCACTCGAGTGCCTCCCCGCGATACGGGAAATTCATTCGGTAAAAAAGCAGTATACCATACCATATATAATACATGTGTGTACCCCGTGCACAATAAGATCGTATAGCAGCAGTAGCAGCAGCAGCAACTCGGGAGCAAAAACACATATACCTGCCTCTCTCTCGTTGCGGAGCTTGGACGTTGTTAAATCAAGCCAAGTAGCTAATTGCTCTCCTTTAACCTTTACCTATATATATATTCTACTATATGTGTGTGTGTATGTGTATACAGGGTCCGTGCTGCACGGGAGACTGCAGATTGAGATTCGGTGACAAGTGTCGCGACGACAACGGCTGCAGGGACGCCAGTTTTTGCGACGGCCGAGCGCCCTATTGTCCGCCGTCCATTAACAAGCCCAACAAAACCATCTGCAATCAAGAGCTCGTTTGTTTCATGGGGGTGAGTATACGACGAGATCACTGCGCGCTCGTCCGCCTGTATTATATGCATATGCCTGTCAATGAAATCATAATCAACGAGCTTGCCCGCATTGAATACGCGAAAAAAAGAAGTGGATCAACGTTCGAGCTTTATCCGAATTTCGTTTCTAATTTCAAAATGTAATTTATTAACGTTTTAATTGTGCGCTATTTTGAAGCTGAAATAACAAAAATAATGGCCTCTCGAGCGATTCGTCGAATTAAAAATACTCGACTAAATCCTTTTATCCTTCTGCTTTCATTTGCTCGTCTACGCGCGCTCCTTCGCCCTCTCATTTGCCGGCCGCAGGAGTGTACAGGAAGTATTTGCCTCGCCTACGGACTCGAGTCCTGCCAATGCATACCCGGACCAGACGATCCAGCGACCAAAGCCTGCGAGTTGTGCTGCCGTTTGCCCGGGGAAAACCAGCCTTGCCTGTAAGTTTATATCTAACTTGTATTTAAAAGGATTGACTATAGAAAATAGCACTGAAAACGTATAGGCTTGCGCAAGCACTGCGGTTTAATTGTATATTTTGCCATCGGAGTAAGTGTTTGAATAATGAAATTAAATCATTTTCTATGCTTCATTTCTTATTCTTTCTGCTTCCTCGTAGAGGAAGATCTGTGATAGCCTCGCAAACAAGTTTTCAAATCAAGTGTTGCAAAATAACTTTGTTTACACATATGTAGACTGAGCTCCCTACAATTATCTGTATGAATGTGTTACGTGTGCAGAGTATCATCTCGTAAACGGGACGTAAAACCATATCGAAATAGACCGCATTTATTGTTAAAGTCATGAAAGTGAACTCCAAAAAAATTTAATTTGTACATTATCACGAAAAATATTGTTTCGATCTTTTTTGAAACTCAAAAAAATGTTTTTTGTTATTTATTATATTTTAGTATTGATTATAAAATAAGAGAAATTAAGCTTTAATTTAAAACTAATAACTAATAGCTGTTTACATGAATTGTCAAATGAAAATATTGTAATTATATTTTTGATTCTACAAGAAATGTCTAATCGGAAACCGAAGATTCAATTGCTATATCTCGATGATAAATTACATTATTTCGATGTCTCTCAGTGAGAATGGAACGATGGGACTTAATTTTTTTAAAAAGGACATTATTTGACGCTAAAATGGCGACATTGACAAGTGCTACGGAAGATAAAACTTTGCTCGGCGATTGAATTTATATATGTATATACGTACAGGGGGCACTTACACTCCGCGCTCGCCGATAGTAAGGCTGTGAAATGAAAATTTCAAGACGTCTCGTCGGAGGCGCGCAAAGACTTTGTTAAAACAGAAAAGAACGAGAAAGCCGCAAAAGTGCGTCTCTCTCGAGAATCCTTTCGTCGTTATTGTTAGAGAAACCGCTTGTCAAATTGTATGCGCATCTCGAACAAAAGTACAAAGGGAATATAAGCGATTGAACGAGGTCCAGGGACAAGAAAGTGAGGAAGAGTGAGAGAAGGAGAGTATAAGGGAGACAGACAGACAGAGAAAGAGAGGACTTATGTCAATTTAATCGAATTTCCGAGAGAATAATACAGCTGACGCCGGGGCGTACTTCTCTCTCTCTCCCTCACTCTGTCTCTCTCGCTTTCCTGCGCGTCTCGAGCCGAATAACTTGATTAAGCTTACACTGAGAGATAAGAGCTATTACACACACACATATACCTATAAAGCCTTGTCGGTGTCTTGAGCGTTTGCCTCCTCTCGCGCCGATCGTTTTCTACGCAGTGGCGCAAGTTTTCATACTTAAGTTATAGGACCGCTACGTCTCAACCTCATAATACATAATACTTTTATATGACTTCCTCTCCCCGAATGTAATTTAATGAGTTCACTGATAAGATGGACCCAGATATGCATTAGCCCCGTTCTCCTATTTGTATTTTAATTTCAAACTTCGGCTCTCGTTTCGTACAAGCGGGTGATAATGATTTTATTCGAGTTACAAATAGAAAACCAAGAAATATATCAGTCGACATTTTTTACCTAAAAATATTATTTCGGCAATACATGAATGTTAGACAATAAAATCACCCTTTCTATCAATAAATTTACTTCAGAACGTCTCGGTACTGTGAATGACAAGGGCGCCGAGCTGGACCTTGCCTTGCATCGTAATTTTACTAAAAGCTGAAAGCTTTTTGCAGAGTGCACAAACTTGATCGGCCCGTAAACTATCCCGGCACAAATCCGAGGTAATCTTGGTCCCGCTGCTTCGTGGAGATGATGCTTGTAAATGCAGTAGAAGCTTAGACTAAACATTCGATCGTTTCCGCGCAGAATAAAGCAGTATAGGTATACGACATTACAGTTTGATCGTTTCGGCTTCCTTGAGATACATTGAAAATCGTGTCTCTCTTTTCTCCGTATGCATATTTTAGAAGCTAAATGAAATGTAACATCGTCTCTATGCTTGTTTTTTCGCAGTTCGTCGTACGATTGGAATTCGCCACCGTACGACATACCCGACATGTTCGCCAAGCCCGGCACGCCCTGCAATGACTACAACGGCTACTGCGACGTCTTTCAAAAGTGCCGCGAGGTCGATCCGAGCGGACCCCTCGCCACGCTGAGAAAGCTCCTGCTGTCCGACGAGACGCTGGCCACCTTCAAGCGGTGGATCATCGATCACTGGTACGCGGCCACCCTCGTGCTCATCGCCACCATCTCCCTATTGGTGAGTTGTTGCTGTTAACTTTTTGATAACGCGATATTAATTGTAAGATGTAGTGGTGGAATTATAGTAACTTTACAACTATTAAGAACAGATGATCGATCGTAGTCTCAATTTCTTTGAATTTTTATAATGTGAGGACAATTTTTAAATTGATGAGACTCAAAGCTTGAAAACGTGAGATCTGAAATGACGACTTAAACAATAAACGCGCGATAATATTTTTTTAATATAAATTAAGTTTTCATATTTTCTTTATGAAGATGATCGAAATATTTTTGTTAATATACATATTCATCCATATTACATTTATAAATTTTGGAATGAACATTTAATTTTTTTATAATATTACTCGATGTCGCAGCAAGTCTGCTCAAAATTACTTATTTTTAGAAAGATAAAATTCTTGGAAGGAATCGTAGCCAAGTTAGAATTTTAAATTATAAGAAGGAGGTGTAAACAGATAAATCGGTAACATAATTGTAAATAATATGATCCTAAAACGATTTTGACATCGGCCCTCGAGTACATTGATCATGTTTATAGTACAGAAAATTAGTTTGAATTTTGTTTTCCCCAATGAAACAAGATTTAATACAAAGAAATAAATTTTACTCATTAAATTTCTTTGGTACTAAATAGAAGAATCCATCGTTTATTATAGACACAAAAATGGATAAAATTGAGAAGAAATCTGAGGAAGTTGTTTCTCAAGATAATTTAGTAGAACATGAAATTGTTGTTTCAGACGACAAAAAATACTTTTGTGACATTTGTCAGCAGAAATTTACACTAGAATCAAGCTTGATAACACACCAACGCACAATTCATAATGAGCAAAAAAATTACTCATGTTACAACTGCGAAAAGAAATTTGAGTTCCGAAATCATTTGAGTAGACACCAAATATCAGAACACAAATGCCGCAATATTTTTGTATGTGACAGATGCGAGAAGAAATTTGTGAAAAAATCGACTTTGATTACGCACCAAAAATTAGTACACAAATATCGTGAAGATTTCACATGCAACAAGTGCGAGAAGAAATTTGAAAATAAAACAACTTTACTCAAACATAAAAAAATATTCCACGAAGTTTTAAAAAATTACTTATGTGAAATGTGTGCGAAGAGATTTGATAATAAAAATAATTTTTTCTTGCACATGAAAAAAGTTCACGACCGTCGTAAAGATTACGCATGCGACAATTGTGAAAAAAAATTTGGACAAAGATCAGCTTTGTTAAGGCACCAAAGGACAATACACGAAGGTCGCAAAGATTTAGCCTGTGACAAATGCGAGAAGAAATATGGGCATCAATATAATCTGAGAAGGCATAAAAAAATAGTCCACGAGGGTCGCAAAGATTACGTATGCGAGAAATGCGAAAAAAAATTTGGGTACATAAGCCATTTGAGAAGACACCAAACGACAGTACACGAGGGTTATAAAAATTTTGCATGCGAACTATGCGAGAAGACGTTTGGACTGAAAACAGGTTTGTTTCGACACCGAAAGGCAGTGCATGAAGGTTGCAAAGATTTTGCATGTAATATTTGCGAGAAGAAATTTGGATACAAATCGCATTTTCTTTACCACCAAAAAACAGTCCACGAAGGTCGTAAAGATTACGCATGCGACATTTGCGAGAAAAAATTTGGACACAAACAGCATTTGCTTACCCACCAAATGATAGTTCACGGAGGTCGCAAAGATTTTGAATGTGACAAGTGCGAAAAAAAATTTGGGCTTAAATGTAACTTACTTATCCACCAAAAGACGATACATGAAGGTCGCAGAGATTACTCGTGCAATAAGTGCGAAAAGAAGTTTGGGCATAAACAGTTTTTGCTTGTCCACCAAAGACTAGTCCATGAAGGTCATAGAGATTATGCATGTGACAAATGTGATAGAAAATTTGGACTAAAATCACATTTGCTTTCACACAAAAAGACAGTTCATGAAGGTTGCAAAGATTTCGCATGCGACAAGTGCGAAAAAAAATTCGGACTTAGAGGTAATTTACTCGCTCACCAAAAGACTGTACATGAAGGAAGCAAAGATTACACATGCGACAAGTGCGAAAGTAAATTTGGACGAAAATCGTATTTGCTCTTGCATTTGAAGACAGTGCACGAAGGTCAAAAAGATTTTGCGTGCGACAGTTGTGGGAAGGAATTTGGACAAAAAAGTAATTTGCTCAGCCACCAAAAGAGAGTCCATGAAGGTCGCAAAGATTACGCATGCGACGAGTGCGAAAAGAAATTTGGACAAAAATCGAGTTTGCTCTATCACCAAAAGAAACAACACCAAGGTTGCAAAGATTGAGCATGCCAAAATGGCGAGAAGAAATTATGATTGATGATTGATGATTGTAAATATTTGTAGATACTTACATAGATGTTATTCTAAAAATTCAATAAAAATTGTGCCGAAATTATCTTACTCGCGTGTTATTAAACCTTTGTTCATTGTCGTCGTGGTGGTTTAATATTTTTGGCTACAATTTTTCGTGCAACGATCATCTGAGAGTTTTTTTCCGCGTCTTATTTCAAGCTGTAAACGGAGCGAGTTTTTAGTTAGGTATTGGATTTTTAATAAACCAACATGATAATAAAAATACATTATCACTGAAAAAACCAACTTAGAAATCATTTAATGATTAAGTATAAACCAAAAATGTTTCCTATATTGTTTTTAAATTTTAATTGTTTTCGCGGTGTGAACGGCAAATAAAGTTAGCGTAGGACAATACTTTTTCTAATCCACCACTCCGAATGAAATAATTATAGTAAAGAAATAATAGTTATAAAATTTAAAAACATTTTTGTCATCCATAAATATGCAGCGTCATCATCGGAATGGGACAAAGGAGCAGAAATGCGATGTCGATAGTAATAATGACAATAATAATTAAAAGTATTGTATTTTTGAAAAAAAGGTTCAGATTCATTTCCAAACATTGAGCGGTTGACTAAAATTAAAAAAAAAGCTCGAGAGTCTTTGTAAAACTGAACTTTTTTTCGTTTAGTAGCATTATGAAATTCATGATAGCAATAAATCGTTCAGTACTTTCATCAAAAGATGCGTTCATAAATTATTCACATTAGGATTAGCTTGTAACTGCGCTCGTTGCTGCTCATTTATGCGTCATTATAAGCCAATATTACAAAAAATGTAGCGTATATATAAAGCTGATAAAATATTATCCTGCATCGTCGTATCTGTCGACGTTGTCGTAGTCATTGTTTTTTTCCTTTTATTACGCTTACGTAATCGCATCTCTTGTGTTTCTTTCGCAGATACTAAGCACGCGATTGTTCAGAAGAAAGCCGGACAAGAAGCTCAAGTCCGTGACGATAATCCACAGCTCGACGACGGAGACTGTGCGACTGCCGCCGGAAGGAGCGGAGGGCGTGACGGTGCATCCACCGGCCGTGAGGGCCAAATTGCCGCTTAATAAGAAGGTACGGGAGAAGCGACGCAGGCCCAAAAGGAAAAAGGACGCGATCGCTCACGACAAGGCATTGTCCAAGGTACGTTCACGTAATAATGCCTCGCGCAAAATCATCAAACTTCGTGGCTTGTAATAAAAGCCGAGTTCATTGATGCTTTCGAATGGTGTATTATCGAACGAGCGTTTTTGTATCGTTTTTTTAATTTTTCTTCAAATTGTTCACACAGACGAAGAGAAAACGCGTCGCAGCCTCGCAGAACGTCAGCTCGAACGGTCCAGCGCCGTCCGCGCCACCGGAGGAAGCAGTGAAAAAGCGCAACCCCCCTGCCACGGTTCCGCCATCGTTACAGACTCCAGCCACGGCCGAAGCAACGAAAGCCGCCGCCAACACGGCCGAAGCCTCGAAGAGCCCTCAGCCGATTAGCCAAGCCCAGCAGCAACAGCAGCAGCAGCCGAGTGGTCGTCGCGTCGCGAAGGACAAGTCGACGAACGACAAAACCAACTCGTCTACGGAAACCAACTCGGCAGCAGTGACTGCTTCCGCGGTGACGGCAGCTGCCCTCACGGCTGCGGCGATCGTCGCCAAGAAGAAGTCGTCCTCTCAGCAACAAACGACGCAACAGCAGCAGCAACAACAACAGTCACAGCCGACACAGCAGCAGCAGCAGCGCAAAAAGAAAGAAGTGATCGACTACTCGGCGAAGCAAGCCGAGCAGGCGGGCGAACCTCTGCCACCGCCGGGTGTGCCGGTGGCGGTGGCTGGCTCGACGAACCCCGTGCCGATCGTCGCCCCGGTCGTGCCCGCCGCCGTGGTCATGAGCTCGTCGGGCGCCGCCACCGACCCCAAGAGCAAGGTGCGCTCCTGGCTGCTCAACTCGCACACGCCTCAGCTGCCCAAGAGCAAGTCGCAGCCCGTCAACTTGCAGGCGAACCCGTTGCGCTCCGGCAACGCGGCCGCGCTCAGATCCGCCGCTGCGCGGTAAGTCAGCTGCTTTGACAATTATCGATTTCCCGTCTCGAGCTCGAGACTCGTGTTGTATATACATAATATTTATACACTCATTAGGGAAACTTTGCTCGTACATCATGCGCGGCGCTCGTCATACAACTTTATGTTTCGTATATGTTACAGGCAAGCGAATTCGAAAAGGCTGACGGGCTCGAAGTCACGCAGCGTTGGCAATTTGACTGGTGCCGCTGCGTTGGCGGCGGCTCAGGCGGCAGCGGCGACTGCCGCCGCCACGGGTGCTGGTGCATCGCCGAACAATACAGCGGCGGCAGCGGCGGCAACGACGACTACCAAAGGCAACAACAACGAGCGAGTCAGTCTGCAGGTGCTGTACAAGCCGCCGTTCAAGTTCAGCTGGAGGCTGCGTCGACCGGACAAAGCGGCGGCCACTACAACGACGACGGCCGCAGCGGCTGCGGCTGCTAAAGCTGCCAAGGCTAAGGCGGCAAAGGCGAGGCCTCAGCGCACGGGGGTGCTGCTGCGCACCATTGCCGATCGCAAGGCCCACAAGGAGCGCAAACGCAAGTCGAAGCCCAGTCGGGCCTCGTCCAAGCTCAGCCAGGCGTCGTGCATCGGCGAGCCGGCCAACTCCGATCTGCACACCGTGCCCTCGGACCTTGAGGTCCTGCTCTCCGAGAGCGAGTTTCTCTTCAACGATACTTAAGAAAATTTGCGATTGCGGCTGTGTACCTTATTTGTGCACCCATTAAATGTATTGGTTTGGATTTCTAAAATTAGTTTTTCAATCGATCTTTTATAATTAGTAGTCATTTTAGTTTTTTTCTCATTAAGCTCTTTCATTTTCGATATTTCCGATCAAGCCTAACTTTGAAGCAAAGTTTTTTTTATGCAAGTAACGAAAAATAAACATCGATTTATGCGGTTCATCATCAATTGGCTACCATCAATACTTTTAATTTAAAAAATTGATTGAAAGTAATTTGCTTCTACTAAAATAAGTTCACCGTCATAAATACATAAAAAGTATAACAGGAAATATATTTCATATTATCAAGTTCCTACTGCCTTTCACTACTTAATGTAACTATAATGTTTAAGCTTTAACAATTGTAATTTGGAAATCCGACCCGATACATTGATGCAATGTCAGCTGGTCAAAGCGACAATTACTTAACGACAGTCAGGCCAATCGTTATTCGAGCAGTAATAAGACTTAGACATACTGCCAGTAAAGAATAGACATACACGCAGGCTCGATTACCGCGAAACGCGTTGAGCTATCGTGCGAGGAGGAAACACACTGCCAAGAGGCGAGAAAGCACGGGGGGTGTCGCACTTTTGTACATAAGATTTACTGTGATTTTTTAGCGAGTCTCAAGAGCACCATTGAATGAGCTTGCTTGCGAAAAAAAAACGAAGAAAAAAACAAAAAAAGTTTGAAGTAAGAAAAGCAATGTTCCTGAACAACGACAAGCTGAGGCGGATAATAAAAACGGTAAAAAATTCTGGTGACTTAGCGTGCGCGCGCGCGTTGGATGAACTTTCTCTTCGGTTAACTTTTAGTTTTTTTTTTTTACTTTTTTTTACTCTTTTTGCCTCTTCAAAGGTCGTCGTCCAAATGTAGAGTTTAAAAAAGAATGACGACGAACAGGATGCGCTAATGCCGTAGTATTATTCTTCGGACTAACTGCTGTCGTTGAAGAATAAGGAGTTTCAGCGTCTCATAGAGTTTTGTCGTATCGCGCGCTCAGATTTAATTTTTTTTCTCATTTATTTCACTAATATAAATATGTCATTGCTTAAAAAAAAATGTGAGCTCTATTATAAATAATTATCGTTCGTTTGCAAACTGTGTAAGATGTGCTTAATCGACTAGTCATAGACTTGCTAATGTGCTAGATCTCGTGAGTTCTTTTAAACTGATAACTGTTGGATGATCTTCGCGTTCTGTATGAGAATTATTTTACAAAATTTCGATTTAATATCGAATACTAAAAGTCATAACGCGAGGATCATCGGTCATCTGGAACTGAGCAATTATGAGTGTAAATACTTAATCTTCGGTAAATCGCTACTCAACAATTAAAACTACGAACGAGCAGAGAAAAAAAGAAAGAAAGAAATATAATTTGCCAAGGCAGAACTTTTATACATATGTCGGGACCACACGCCCGTTCATAGATGAATATTGGATCTGCTTGCAATGAAATAATCAGATTTTCATTGAAATTAAGTCGGTATAAAATAATCCATGGAAAGCTCGGAAATATATTCTTTTATTCAATGAAAGCCTGAAAAAATTAATTATAATTTTCCATAAGTATTTATGTAAACCTGTTTTATTTCTATTGACGAATCGCATCAAATAGCCAGTATCTCCGTATGTTATTGAATCAAAATTATATTCTATTTCTAAAAGATATATCATGGAATATTAGGATGAACGATTCTTTTTTTATGATTGAAACTGTTTCAATTACTCTCAAAACGATAAATTTTGTCGAAGTAATAGTGATAGATAAAAGTTTGGTATGCTACATTAAAAATATCAATAATTCTCGAACCTACAGCTGCTCTCGATGACGTCGTTCCTCTATAGCTAGAAATTCATTGATGAAAAAATGTTTCGCACGGTTCTAGCATGTAAATATGCATAAACTAAACGTCATAAAGTAATGTATAGCACCGCACGACTCCTGCGGTGGTTGAGAAACCGCAAACGGCTCTCAGTGCTATCAACGGAAACAATACACATAAATACAAAATAATATGAATACGATGTATGTATATATGTTATAGATAAATTCTTTCGTACAGTCGGTTATTATTATATATATAAAAGCAACTAACGTGTTACTGATATTTTTGTGATGATTGTAAATAAAATATGAAAAAAAAAGATGAAAAATAACCGACTAATGTCGTAAGATGAATGTAAAATAGGGTTTAAATTTATTTCTGCTTCCGAATAAGATACTATATATTTATGACTATGAATTATTTTTTGCCGTCGACTTATTCAAGTGCAATCGTAACGCCGAGTAAGAATTAATTAAATTGACTTTCATGTTGCAGCAGCTTTCATGAACTATAATTATTGTCATACTGCCTTTGTTGCATTGTTCATTATATAAGTGCTAGAATTATAATTAATTTCTTATAACAATGTTGTACTGTCATGATCTATATTGATATTGTACTTATTATAGAAAAAATACTTCTATTTTCAGTAACTTTGTCTCATTTACTATGTATTAGATTCGAAAATTATTAATATCATGAACTATTTTATTTTATGCGAATGATTTGAATGTTATTGTTTGCGTAATATCTATTAACAATCGGTGCTACTTTAACTGCTGTTATAAGCACTAAGCTACGTGTAAATCATACGAATAATTTAAGTCTCAATAAGAAAAGTAAAAAAGGAAAACCATTATCTGGAACAAAAAATTTTATTAAAAACTTTTTTCTGATGTCAAAACACTTTTTTTGGTCAGATAAAATTTAGACAATGATGAATCTCAGTTCTGCAAGGAAATCTTCGCAGGATATTGATTACTTTCTGCGGGTCAGTGCGCGTTTCATAGAGCTAGAAACGTTCAAGATTTTATACTTTTAAAATTGATCAAATGTGGCAAAATTTTAACGTTTACGCTCAGGAATATTTCTTGAACAATAAATAAATTTAAAAAACTGAAATTAATCTTAGGTTTGAAATTGTCAAAACACACCGACCCCTGCGACATGAACGTGATATATAATCCTAGGCTAATTATTTTATAGTAAATTATATTTACTATGTGTACTATTGCGCTGGTCTTCCATTGGATTAATTTTTGTAAGTAATTATTTTTGATGGTTTAATTTTTAAGAGAATTGACTTTGACTATAGGAATCAATTTCGTATGAAATTATGAAAAATAGTTGACTAAGCTTGAAAAATTAGAAAAATGTGTGAGTATCAATTAATGTAGACCAGTTTGGAAATATGCAGATGATAACGTTAACTTGAAAAATGCTTATCTGCACTTATTTACAATAATTATGAATTTTCTAAAATTGTTAAAGTATGACTCGTTTATTTTATTGTGTTAGATCAATAAAACTCAATAAAGATAGATGCGCTTGATATGTTGTTTTTATAAAAGGCCTGATTGCATATAAGTTGAATCCCGTTAACAAGACATATTGATTGATATGGCTACTGTATTTTTACACTACAACTTGTGTGTAAATAATGTTAACGATGGCTGTAACATTTCTGTACTATGTATATACAAAATGTACTAATAAAATTATGAAATGAACTGAATCATAAGTATCAATTTTTTTGACAAACATTTTAATAATTTTTATGAGAAATTATAATTGATGGATATTCAACACTAACGATATTTAAGTTACACAAATGTCATGAATTGACTTCAATTTTTTATTTTAAAAACTAAGATTACATTTCCCTAAAGTGCAGATAAATATTGACAGAAAAATAAGTCAAGGTCATATACTTTTCAAAAGTTTGCAGTATTTTCAATTCAAGTAAAGTGTTATTATCATTTTAAAAACAACGAAAACAAAATTTAAGAACACTTATGTCTATAAAAATTACTTTGAGTATGTTTAACACAATTTTAAATTTAAATATTAGCTGCAAAGCAAATATTATACAAATCTTCGTTTATCAAAAGCTCAATGATCTTATTACAGATCTCAATTGGGAGCTGATTGCGCGTCAGCTTCAAAAAAGGTTCAATTGTCCATTGCTGGCAAAATCCTCTCATTAGTTTCTCGCAAAGATGTTCTCACAAGCCTGCTTGTATTTTTTGGGGACAACCCAAGATTTTTTTGAGCACTTGAATTTAAAGTAGTCTGAATATTTTAGTAGTTTTGTTGTCTCTTCAGGTCGTTTCCGGATCAAATCGTAGAGCGACACTCTCGGACTTATCATTATCATTATTTTTTTTGCTTCTTTAGCGAACTCCTCCTCGTCAAACCAGTATTCGTCGAGATTCGCTGACTTCTTAAACAAGCCGCAGTCAGAGAATAACTTCATCATCGCCAGAGCGTCGCTTCGATGCAATTCGTATCCTCTATTCTCGAGACATTTGAGGACGGCCAGAGCGCCAGCCGCTAGTCTCAATTTAAAATGAACATGATAACGCCACGGTCTAGATCCTTCAGCTAAGAGAGCCCCTGTCGGAAAATCGAAACTAGACAGATCAGTACTATGATCCAAGAGTACGTCGACCACGTGTGGCAAAAAATTAGCCACAGCCCACTGCAACGGTGTCCATCCCAAGTTGTCCCGGGCGTCGACATCCACCGTCTGATCCTTTTCATCGTTTATCTTGATGAACGCCTCCACGAAGTCGTCGTCGGAATATCTCTGACAAATAAAATGAAGAGGAGTCCCTCCCTCTACGTCTGTCGAGTTCGGATTGGCACCGTAATTCAGCAGTAATTCAGCTATGATCTTCATTTCGCCAAGCTTATCGTACTTCTCCTCCTCCTCCTCCTCGTCCGGGATCCACTTATTTTCTTCGTCATGAATTTCGAAGATTGTCTGCGCCATGTATTCGTCTCGGCAATCCTTGCAAACACGGTGGAGAGGAGTCAATCCCTTTGCATCAGTTGCGTTTGGGTTGGCGCCCTTACTGAGCAGATATTTGATCACGTCCTTGTGGTCGATTTTTGCACCTAGTACAGCGGTGTCAGAACCTTTTCGTCCTGAACGTCGACTTGCAACGGTTTGTATTGGTTGTCGCAATGCTCGACCAACATCTCCACCAAATCTTTTCGTCGTCTCTCATGCAAACATAGTGCACGGAGAAATATGTACACCAGTTAACGCGATGCACACCAGCACCCGAAAATATGATGCGCCATCTACTCATAAAAGAGCGCCACTACATCAGAAAAAGCGGTGAGCGCCTCACATAAATCGATGCCGCTGCTCTGCGTTTCTCGGCGCGTCCATGCTTTGCGTTTTAGCGTGCGTGCATCGCCTTTTTCGATGCACGCAGCTCGTACTACGATCAATTTATCGACATCGAGTTGTGTCAGATCTACGTAAAGTAAATATGGCCACGCGCGTACGGCTTTTTTAATCGATCGCGGCTTTTCTAACTCGCTAGCACTAGCACCACTGACGTTGGAAAAATATTTCGTATATGCAAATCGATAGATTTTTGCCTGCTCTTTCCGATGGTGACATTAATTTTTCCGAAAAATGTATTTTTCACCCGGAAAAGCGGTCTCAAAGTCAGACGTGTTTTCCACAATGTTCTTCCAAAATATTCCTTACTTATAATTTACATCGAAATGAAGAAAATCTATTCAGGAGTATTGCGTAAAAATGTCATGTTGGGGAAACCGTGGACTCAAAAATGCCGAGCGCGAATGTGCCGAAAAACGTGGTTTGGTGGGCGCGCGCGGATAAGACGGGTACGACGATCATTCAGAAGACATCAGAAGTTGTGAGGTGCGCACGCCGAAGCTTGTTTATATTTTGATGTTGCACCGCGATTTCCGATGCACGCACGTGAATACGCCGCCCTGAACGCTTCACAATACGTGAAGCATACCCGCATCGTGTTTCGACGTGCTCGCCTTAAAACTTAACGCGCGCGCCCGCCCTCTCGCGTCGCCGCATCTTGTTTTGTAGTGAGAATATTTCTCCGTGTGCAGTGGCGTAAATCCTTCCTTATTGATCAAATTTGGGTTGGCCTTATATTTCGGCCGATGTTATTTGTACTCCAGATCTGGGGATTTTTTTTACTTGGAGTACAAATAAGCAATATAACTCAAAATAGAGTGCACACAAAAAAAAATTTACAAAATAACTTAGCTATTGAATTAATGTTAGGAAAATTATATTTACTAATGAGCACGATATTTAATTGAGTGGCTACAGGAAAAATTAGCTCATTCTAACCTACAGCTGTCGTTTAATCAACGAGCAGACATGTTGTGTTATTGCCTATAATGGTCATATAGGCTTTGACGCAAGTTACTACTATAGATGTACGCGCAGGTCCACCCGAGTATCGAAAGAAAACAAACGTGAACTTGGCTGTAGGCGGGTGATGCCAACTTAAGAAAAATATACCCTAGTACTGAAATCTGGAGTACAAATAGCAACGCCCTTTTTTTATACCAAAAATCTTGTAATTTCATAAACTATCATTGGTTGAAATTTCATTTCGATCTAAAGTTTTTTTCATTTTCGCCACAGCCTCCGAGTTTGAACAGAGTAATAACCACTTAATGAAATAGCACGACGGCTAGTGTTCGCAAAAAAGGACCGCTACTGCTCTTTTTAGAGAGCAGCTGAGACTATGTCAATATGAGCGCCACCTGCACTCGAAGACCAGTGACTGAACTAATAGCTTTTCAGTGTAGAGACACAAACCATTAGTAAGGAGCGTACAACGTTGGAAGTTAACATTCCTTCCTTGAATGTTTTTCAAACGAACTCAATATTTTCACAAATGAATTTCTTAGACGTTCTTATATTACTTCCACACATAAACTAGCTTATGTCGACAATGAATAGTATAATAGAAATTGGTTTCAAATTACTTAGATAACTGCAAGTCATTCCAGAGTAAATTAATGAACTACATGACATATCATTGCATGTCATTAAATCGATGAAAGTAAAAAAAATTTCTAGAATTAAACTCAAACAAATATAGGTACATAGATCATGAGGAATCATAGCATTCCATTCATTGACCTTTCTCTCTCTCTCTCTCTCTCTCTCTCTCTCTCGCTTGAGAGTAGAACGGTCGTGTATCGGATCGCTCCCAGTGTTTAGTGCTCGTGTGACGGCTGTTCGTGTTTTAAATTTTTCCTGACTTCGCCAGGGTGTGCGACTGGTCGGCAGTGACCTTCCTGACATAGCTCGACGCATGCAACTTTGCTCGTCGCGGCTAAAAAAAGCCATTTTACGACGGCTGTACCGGAAATCTTATTACATTTGACATCGATTTGACTATCGTCTGTACACGACGTAAATATTTACTTTTGCGTATCGGCAGTTGAGCTTGTTTACACGCTCCATGCTCGCCGATATGTCACGAAAGGTAAAGCGCGCCAAGCTCGGTACAGGACCACCGACAAAACGCTCTAAGCCCGACGCGAGCCATGAGGATTTTATAGACGAATTGGAAGATGACGCCCGTTTCACACCTCATACCACGATGAGCCTGACTGGCGAAGATTTAAAAAAGTTCTCGCGGTCCTTCTTGAAGAGTCACGCAACACTTCTGAGCATGATAGCATCTGAGCGAGTCACAGAGAAAAACAAAAATATGCAAGCGGCTGTGAACTCAATGTGTGAGGGCTTCTTCGCGGTTGTATGCGCATATACTGCCAAGCTCGCCTACCTGGACCTTGTGAACGATTGCAAGGAGGCTCTCGCGGCTACGTGCAATAACATCAACCAGGCGACGGCGGCGTTGAGAACGGAAGCAGCGAAGACTCAGTCGGCGAAGCCTGATGTGGATTCCGCGTGTTGTCGTTCGTCGCAGCGGTCATATGCGCGTGCGACTTCTGACGAGGCCCCGAAGCGGGACATCGTGAATGCGGTGTCCGTGACCCGTGGCCGATCCATTGCCATCAAAAAGAGTAGCCGGATCACCGTTGGACCAAAGGAGAATGAAGAGGCGAATATGCGCGACGCCGCTGCTGTCAAGGCAGCACTCGTGAGGTCGGTCAATCCGGCGACACTTGGCGGTCGGGTGGAGCGAGTGCACTACGGTCGCGGTGCGACGGTGGTGATAGAGGGCGAGGGGCTGTGCGCGGACACCTTTGGTGCATGCCCTGAGCTTGCGGCTGCGGGCCTGGAGGTCAAGCCGAGCTCGTTGCTGGACCCTCGTCTCATTGTACACGGCGTGCCTGTTGAATTGACTGAAGATGAGATCAGCGAGTGCATCAAGCAGGACATGCCTGGCGCCTCGCCTATCAGGATCATCTATCTGTATCCGGCAGGAAATAAAAAGCAGCGGTCGTGCGTGATTGAGGCCTCGGCGGATACTAGGAGGTTACTGCTGTCTCGTGGAAGGGTCAATCTGCGTTGGCACTCCTGTCGCGTCGAGGATCACCTCTCCATCATACAGTGCTTCAAATGCTCAGGCTTCTCGCATATAGCTGCAAGGTGCGACAAGGAGCCGTGTTGCGCATACTGTGCTGGCGAGCATCTCTCCGAAACGTGTAACACGAAGAGACAGCTCAAGTGTACCAACTGCGTCAGTG